GATATACTTACAGATTGGTCTCATAGAAATTTTATCAAAATAGGTTTAGTTGTTTAGTTTTTAAATCAAAATAACTGGTTTTGCCACAATTAAATTCATTGTTTTTGGAACATAATCTTAATAATAATTATAGTTTTTGAATAGAACTTAAGATAAATGTAAATAATCAAATAATATACTCGACTTTGTTTCGGCATTTCTCAAAACCTGCTGCAGCAAATTGTTGTGTAGCAATGTAGTAAAAGTTGCTAACTAACCATATTATACTTTATGTATGCCGTAACATAGGAGGGAACGTATGAAGGCTATCATGGGCGATACAGTATACTCTGTTCTGTCTATACAGTGTTATTTACCAGAGGTAGTCCCATTCGTGTTTCTACCGTGAAGCAGTTGTGTTTGTATGGCTGTGTTTTGGTTTGAAGGGTGGGTGGGTGGATATGTCAGTGAATTTATAGGATACAGAGGAATAACACCTGAGTCCTCAGGAATGGGAACGCATGGAGTATATCATGGGCAAAACAGTATACTTTGTTATGTCCATGGTACTGCTCATGTCTATAGGCGACGGTCACCATTTTCCATCAGATGGGTCATCAGTTTGTTTGCCATTCTAAATAGCATAAAAAAAGGAGGGTTAAAAGTTATTATTTTAGAGTTCAAAAAAATTAATAAGTTTTATACAAGTACTACAAGTATACAAGTAAGTATTGAGTAGTCCATTCACTCTAGCCGTATGTCTGGTCTGTAACTTTTTTAAGATGAAATTCGAAAATCAAGGAAGACATCTAAAAATATCTAAAAAGCGGTCGCGTAATTTTTTTTATGCAACTTAGAATGGCAACCAAGCTGGCGGCCCACCTGATGGAAAGTGGTAACCGTCACCTATAGACATGAGCAGTACCATGAACATAACAGATAATTATTAAGAGGATATTGTGTGCCATCATAAAATAGCCCGTAACTTTCTAGATGTTAACTTTTATAGGGTTTCGTCCGTTCAACTTCTCAAGTGTGACACGTAACAGTTTACAACTTGCACTTTGATCTTGATATGAAAGTTAAAAAATTAACGGATCAACACACGGGCGTCGGTTAAGAGGATATTGCAGGGGAACAAAACATTTTATTTTAATACGAACTTTTATCTGCGATTTCATTCGACCAATATATATTTATTAAATTTTTTTATACAACTTAGAATGGCAAACAAGCTGACGGTCCATCTGATGGAAAGTGGTAACCGTCGCCTATAGATATGAACAGTACCATGGACATAATAGAGTATACTGTTTCGCCCATAATACCCCCTATGCGTTGCCATTCCTGAGGACTCAGGTGCTATTCCTCTGTATCCAGTAAATTCACGCTATATCCCATCCTTCAAACCGAAACACAGCCATGCAAACACAACTGCTTCACGGTTGAAACACGAATGGGACAGAGGTACCCAAGCAATCGACTTTTCTACAAAGTCTCCCTCTGGTATTATGTTGATTGATGGGGAAAAATCAGAAAAAATCAGTATCATATATTCTTAGATTTTAAAGATAGATTGTTTATACAAATGCTTCACCAAGAACAGGTCAATTATCTATGTATGCTTGAATAGGGTTACCATAATGTACATTTACTACTCAGTATATGGGAGAAATTATATTGTAAAGTTAAAATGAAAAATAAATACAAAATTCTTTCAAATATATCTGAAAGAACAAGATAAACAGTGCGTAATGATTTGTAATGATGCATATCTTTATTGATTACTTTAATTTATATTCAAGTGTATACTTATAGATAAATAGATACTCTTTATTATTTTCTCCAAAAGATTACAATAGAAAATTTATTATAAATATAATAAAATTACAAGGAATGTTCACAGGGAGTAAACAATGGGTGGCCTTATCGCTAAAAGCGATCTCTTTCAGGCAACCTTTGAATGGAGAAAAGTAATACTAGTTAGTTAGTAGTTTTTTTTATACAACTTAGAATGGCAAACAAGCTGACGGCCTACCTGATGGAAAGTGGTAACCGTCGCCTATAGACACTAGCAGTACCATGGACATAACTAAGTATACTGTTTCGCCCATGATACTCCGCATGCGTTGCTATACACTTATAATATGTTTTCGTTTTGAAAATCATTGATATTATTTACCATTTTATTTATTACATGTATAATAATTTGTTCTAATAAGAACATATTTATATAATATCAGAAGGAGAGTTATTTTTATTTAAATTTAAAATACGAATTTGGTTTGGGAATTTTTTAATCTAATTGAAACTGAAAAAAATGGCGCGTTTTGTTTTGATTAAAAAATATGTAAAATTAAGTCAGTCAAATATTAATTTAGCTGATTAAATATTAACATTCTATCTATATAATAAAAATTTACCATATGCCTTTCTCCATCCTATTTGGTACGTTTATACTAAATATTATGATGATTGGTTAAGCCGTTAAGACGTCAAGAGGTAACAAACAAACAAATTCATTTTCCCATTTATAGCATTAGTAAGGACTTGAATTTAATTAATAATTATCAACATAGTCTTGAGGAATGGCAACGCATGAGGGATACCACGAGTATCACAGCGTATTCTGTAGTATTATGTCTTGCATGAAGACAACGTCTTTCATCAGGTGAGCTGTTAGCTTATTTGCTAAGTACCATAAGAAATATTAATATAAATAAAAAAAAAAACATTTATTGAGATAAAATTAAGAAGGTTGTTAATATCTGACTAGAGGGCGAGCAAGCACCTGCGCCTACGCACGTGCCAACTGTCCACCCTCCCCCCCTCCGCAGCACAACCGCTTCACCCTCACTTCCTCCACATCCGGGGAGTTGGTTTTTTTTTTTTATTTAATCTCCTTTGTGGTTGACTTTCTCTTGTTTGTTCTTAACTATTATAGAAATGATGTTACATAAATAGAGTAATTAATAAAAAAAATTATAATTTAATTCTGTACAACTACTCTGTTCAATTTGAAGATGAAGCAAAGGTACCAATAAGAAAAAAAAAATATCTCCTAAGGAGAGTAAAACTTCTAAAATTCACGCATATAAAGGCGCAGGAAAAAGTTAGTATTTTATAAATCTTCTACAATGCAATTAAAAGATACACGCTTTTTATTGGTAAGAGTATATGGGATACCAAAAAATATTTTGTTTTATAGGAAAACCTTTGCCATATTGTAAGAGACAAAAAATATTAAATTAAAAAATAATGAACCTAAAAAAGTTAAGTTTTATAATTCTATTCTTATATATACAGTATGATAACTATCAATGTTTGATAGTGTTTGCATGTCATACATCGGGCTCAACCCGAAATCGTTAATGGCGTTCAACCGTTTCACTGCTCCTATATATACTATCGGCAAATACGTTAGCCAACGGTCACCGATGACCCAACAAAAACTGTATCAAAGCACCCACGAAACACAAAGCGAATCATTAAAAAGAGACCACTCTATTGTCTAGCGGACAACGAAATCGCCAAACTTTCCCATAAAGGAGCGAGCTTTGTCCTTCGGACGTTACAATTTTGCAAAGAACTAGAACGTTCTCACGAAAGCAAAATTTCAGCGATAGACAAACGTCCGATCTATAGCCGATGAATAGATGAAGGACAATGTAATAGATTCGCGAAAGGGATTACAAATAATGCCATGTAAGAAAGGGGTGGTTTTCTAAAGATTAGGTCAGTTGGGTCACTCGAGGCGCGGGGTTGACCCCATCGCTCACGGTGCAGCAATTTCGGGCTGTTTAAACTGGCGTAAAGGGTTGTTATGACCCTGCCATTGTGTGTGCAGGTCAGCACGGGTTGGCTACCTGATGGCCGGCTCGACTGACCCCCAGATGAATGGACAATTAAAACGAGACCAGTGCATATCAACGGCCGCATTCGGAAAATCGCGATAACCTCTTCAACTTGATTTAGTATTTCTTTAATAGATCTATTTGTAAGTTATTTAATAGTGCACAGATAAGGTTTGAATTTATTCTAAGCAACTATTTTTAGGAAAGGCAATATAATCTACAAGTTTTTATTAAACTTGCAACTAAAATTTAACTGACTTCTTTTAAACTAAAATACTTGTTTTATAACGGTTTTTTAATTGTTAAATGTGTCTAATAATCACGTTATACACGATATTAGACATTCAATATTTAAAATAAATATATAGTTGCAACAAAATTACATATATGGTGAATTAGATGCATTTTAATTTTATTAATCTATCTTTCTAATTTTATAAAAATATCCAAAGTAATAATAAAGCATAAAGTATCATTAAGTAAGTGTCTCCTTTACAGAAAATGTCAAGTGAAATATATTTCTAGTTTCTAATCAATTAACTACATACACATTGTATTGTTGGTAACGAAATGACAAAACGTTTGACGAATAACCGTCATACATCACAAAAGAACTTATATATCGTAAATAATAGCGTTCCATTATACTCTATATTATATTAAAATCACATAAAGATTCGCCAAAGGCGAATCCGTTGAACTGAAGGTGTTCGGACAATGCAAAAATAGAGCATACAAAGTTGTTTCCCATAAAAATTGTAGCGCGAAAAGGGTTTGGTCATAAGCGGCCATTGTTGGACAGTGGGAAATTTCGCTTAGATTCAAAGGGCTCTTTGCGAAATAGAAATGGGTCAGTTAGACCCGCTGAGCAATAGACAGTGCACTATTGTGCTGGCCGCATCACAGGGTTATGCAAATTTGTCAGTTGCGGATGCGTTGCGGACAATGAGGCGGCCTTCTTGAGATGCAGTGAGGTGCAATCATAGATAAAAGATGGACAAAAGAAAAAATGGGTCGCATTCACATGAGATGGACTTAGGGCTTTTGTATAGAAACAAAACGTGTCCGGAAGGATTTAATTCGGTTAATAAAGTAAGAAACGGTTTTGTGTAATCGTTCTTCTTTTTCTCTTTTATTTTTGAAGAAATAATCTACAAGTATATTTAATGTAAACAAATTATTCATATATTTATGCATTATGACATTAATATTTAATATTATTTTATTTATTTCGTTAATATTTTAGACATTTATAATTTAATATAAAATGACATTGTATAAAACAGCAAAAGGTGATGTTTATACCATATAACAGGCAGGCAGCACACCTGCAATGCCGTAGGTGTTGTGGGTGACCATAGGCGGCGGTAGTCACTTACCATCAGGTGAGCCGCATGCTCGTTTGCCCCCTGTGTTGTAAAAAAAAATAACATTACTAAAAGAGTGATGTATGTGGTAACATCTAGATTTTTATAATAATTATATTTGGCGGGTAACCGCTTTTGTCTACAAATAGAAGTGATCCGATCCAGGTGTGTTTTATTTCTTTTCGTCATATTAATACCAAGGTATTTATATGACGAAAAATAACTATCAAATAGCAAAAAACTAAATAGGTATTAATCTATATAAGAAGGCTATCAATCCATTTGTATAGGTACGTTATGCTACCGCAGTTAGGTACTATGCTTAATCTATGATGTTATGCGATAATATTTCTAGATCTGATTCAATTTAATTTTTTTTTTAAAATAAATATATATACGAGGTCTGTCCGGAAAGTTCGTATAAAAGTGTTCTGGAATGCGAGAAAGAGGAGTGGGGAGGCCAGGTAAGCGCAGGACCCCTTCCTTATGTCCCTAACAATGCTTCAGTTCTGGTCTGATAACTGGCTTGTCACGCCATCTGTGAAGTTACCTCTTAACGAAACCCCGTCGGCATGGAGCCCGCTTCCGTTGAAGAGCAGCGCGTCGTAATGTTTCTCTCGAAACTCGGCAAGAATGGCCGTGAAATTTTTGCCGATCTCAGAACAGTTTATGGGGATGATGCTGTGAAGGAACCAACCGTCCACAAGTGGCTAAAAAGATTCAGAGAGGGCCGAAAAAGAGTTCGATGTTCGGGGGATTGTCCATCAAGAATTCGTCCCTCCAGGCCAGACAGTTGATGGAAAATTCTACGTCGATGTGCTCAGACGCCTCAAAGCTCGTGTGGCACGAGTTCGTCCAGAATTGGCGCGAGAGGGGCGTTGGATTCTTCACCACGACAATGCCCCTGCCCACACCTCTCTTGTTGTCCGTGAGTTTTTGAGTAAAAATTCCATTACGGTGACCGAACACCCCCCCTATTCGCCGGATTTGGCCCCGTGTGACTTCTTCTTATTCCCAAAAACCAAATTGGTACTTCGGGGGCGGCATTTGGGGGACATAAATGAGATAAAAAAAGCTACGACGGGGCAGCTGAGAAACCTACAACCAGAGGACTTTCAAGGAGCCTTCTCACAGTGGAAACGGTGTTGGCACAAGTGCATTATGTCACAGGGGGAGTATGAAGGGGATAAAATTGATATATGAATAATTGTAAAATAAAATTTTTAAAAAACTTTTATACGTACTTTCCGGACAAACCTCGTAGTTGTACACATAAATAATCATCTAAGGTACATACATAATCTAACATTACGTACTACGTATATGTGTAATTTTATCACGTCGTTCATCATAAAATCTTTACAACATATATAATTGTGAGTCAGTATAAATACGTCTATAACAATAACAATATAGATAAACAATTTACAATAATTTTCTATGTTTTTACTGTAAAATTATATTCCTCTTACTAATGGCTGACTGAGAAAGAATGCTATATACTCGTAGCATTAAGTCCGCCAAAGGTTGACTGAGAGAAAATATATTACTATTAAGTCCGCCTTTTGTATCAAACATTTTTTGTAATGTGGTCCGTAAAGAACAAATAAACACAACGTATTTACAACAATAACGTAGTGTACGAGAGATGCTATTTTTTTTAATGGGTGATAATGGTATGGTAACCCCGTCTGCGCTATCAGTATACAATGGCGGGGCACCAGTGATAGATGACTAATGAGGATGAAAGTAGGTCAGTTGCCCGTCCTGACGAATTCTACTAGAATTAGCCACGTTGGTTTCCAGGGGGAACCATGCGTGGAGGTCGACCTGATAGTAATATTGTTAGTAATGAGGCTAATTGACCCCATTACTAATCTCCCCCCTGAGAGATGCTATTGGTGTCACAGTATAACTATTAACCAGAGGGAGACTTTGTACAAAAGTCGATTGCTTGGGTACCTCTGTCCCATTCGTGTTTCAACCGTGAAGCAGTTGTGTTTGCATGGCTGTGTTTCGGTTTGAAGGGTGGGATATGGCGTGAATTTACTGGGTACAGAGGAATAACACCTGAGTCCTCAGGAATGGCAACGCATGGGAGGTATCATGGGCGAAACAGTATACTCTGTCATGTCCATGGTACTGCTCATGTCTATAGGCGACGGTTACCACATTCCATCAGGTGGGTTGTCAGCTTGTTTGCCATTCTAAGTTGTATAAAAAAAAAAGTTTAATGAAACCTATTATATTGCCCATTTCTAAATACAACAGTTATATCACAGTGGAACATCAGATTGTTTGACATGCTTAAATGAGTTTTAAATAAATATAATCATCGAAATTTCTACTTGGATTTTTTCCAATAAGATACAGATAAGTATTTATAAAATAAAATTTACAATGCGTGTGTATTTGTTACTTAATCACGTTGAAATGCTAAAATATGCGAGTATTGAAATGGATTTTTGTTCACAGATAGACTAAGTATAGCTCCACATACGAGTACATACTAAAATAGGTGAGTAACTCACTCAATTTGATAGATAGACACATGATGCATTATTATTATGTATGAATGCGAATGGTTATAAGGGCAGAGGGAAACTTAAAACGAAATGGATGGACTGTCTGAAAGATGATATAGCCAGAATGGGAGTGAAAGCAAAAATGACTGCGGCTAGAGAAGAATGGAAGAGAAAAACATATATAAATGAAATATTTGTAAAATAAAGTTTCTTTGTTTCTTTGTTTCTTTCAAACATATAACACCGACCACAAATAATAACTGGGATAAGGGTATGAATATGATGAATCTACATAATTAATCCTTAAATTTAATTTGTGGATATTATTACATATTCGCATCTATATTCAGAAATATTTTCTTCTTAAATAATAAATATGCCGTTTAATCCTGTCATAGAATGGACCATCACCTTCTTCCTTGTGGGTGTCGTAAGAGGTGACTAAGAGAATTTAATGGTCGTGGAATAGGTAGCAGCGTCTCTCTTAAAACATCACCAAAAGTTTAACTGCGGTTGCTAACCCGCCTGCTGAGCGTGGCAACTACTGGCAAAACCCTCCTTATAGGGCAGGCTCGTGTTCAATAGTAGACAGTTAACGGTAACGATATGGTGATAGTAAACCACGTGCTTTACCATTGGTTTATTGCCAATTTCCCTCCAAAAAAAAATTACTTTTAGTATGTAAAATTATCAGTATCATTCATCTAACAAAAAACTGGGGAGAAAGGGATATTGCTGGAGGAAGGGATCGTTAGTAATAAAAGGTTAGTCTCTATTGCTATCAATATACCCTATCGGCTCGACCTCCACGCGGACACTCCTCCTAGATACTATCGTGACAAATTTATCGTTGAATTCGTTATGATGGGCTAACTGACCTGCCTTTTCATTCTCACCATTCATTTCTCACTGGTGCCCCACCAGTGTATTCCGATAGCGCAGGCAGGGTTTTCACTCTATTATCATCCATTAAAAAAAAAACAGTCCCATTGCTAGCAATATAACTTATCAGGTCGACCTCCACACGGTTCCCCCTGAAAATTATAGTGGTATATTTTTGTGGAATTCATCACAATGGGATGAGATGAAACTGACTTGCTTTCGTCCTCATCTATCATCTGTCACTGGTGCCCCGCCAGCGTACACCGATAGCGCAAGCGCAGTTACCATTCCATTATCACTCATAAAAAAGCCAACTAAAAACTAACATGTAGAGTTGAAAATAAACGGTCGATTTTTCTCCCCATTTTCTCGACAACTGATAATGGAACAAGCTCCAAGGTGCGAAACGTTGACCTCAATAAATAAACTACAAGCAACCACCAACACGTTGAAAATAATTATCGATGTAAAATCGACTCTATGGCTTACAAAATAAAAGCAATTATTTATTTCGGCGGACGCAAACGATGTCTTTGTGTGCATCACCCACACGCATGGAGAAGTCAACGTGTGATTCATGCAAATGTTCGTACACACAATGGCTGGAGTGCAATTGGACTTTAATACAATGGATTAAGACACTTTTTCCATTGTCTTGATAGTACATTATTATCCTGAGCCGACAAGCGGTTATCGTTACAAACGAGTTCCTTATCACCAAAGTTCGGTACCCGGCAGATGTATCGATTTTTCAATTATTTTCTACAGTTGGATGGGTCTTTCATTTACTATGTTGTTTACTAGGTATTTTTAAGTATCTTATTATATGCTGCAATGTGGGGAGCTATGTTTTTAGATGAACTGATGATATTTTTTCTTTGATGGGTGAAAATGGTATGGTAATCCCGCCTGCGCTAACGGGTTACGTTGGCGGAGCACCAGTGAAGGGTGATAGATGAAAATGAAAACAGACCAGTTAGTCCATCATGATGAATTCATCATTAACCATGAATGGATGTCAATTGATCAGTCTATAACAATCCCTTCCCCCGAACTGATGATATTAGGAAGACGGCCGGACGAGAAAAGCTAAAAAAAGAGGATTGCACCTGATGAAAGGTACTGGGGAAGCCAGCAGTGGATAGATACAAGTTGAAATGGTGATGATGTTATGATGTCTATTCTATTGATATCCTGAATAAATAGAGTAAATTGAGTTACATTTTTTTTGTTTATTACCTCAAAATCCTGTCATTTGTAAACCGCTTTGGAAAATCCTTTTTTATCCGAAAGGATATGCTTTTAGATTGGTTCTATAGAAATTTTATCAAGATCGGTTCAGTAATTCAGTTTTTAAATCAAAATTACTGATTCAGCCACTATTAAAATAGCTGTTTTTTGTGGAGCAAATTTTTAAATTATTCAATACACATTTCTTCAGATAAAATGTTCGATTTCATTAACGGATGTCAATTGATCAGTTTCTCCTTGTATATCTAAACTAATATTATAAGGAGTAAAGATTTTATTGTTTGTTTGTTGGTAATGGATAAACTCTGTTACGTCCATGGTACTGCTCATGTCTATAGGCGACGGTTACCACTTTCTATTAGGTGGGCCGTCAGCTTGTTTACCATTCTAAGTTGTATAAAAAAAAACTTTAAAGTACTCAATTGATATTAACAATTTTTCACCTATAGAAAACTATATTATTAGCATGTAACATAGACTATTGGCCGTGTGGTCCCGGCATAGTATTCTATCTCCTATCCTTCCTATCTCGTAGGCGTCGTAAGAATCGACTAAGGGAGAGCGAGTGATGGGCAGCAGCGTCCCTCTTAGAATATTTCTAAGCGTAGTTAGGCTAACTACGGTTGCTAATCTGCCTGCTAAGAGTGGCAACTTCTGCCAAAATCCCCAAAGGGGGAGACTTATGTTCAGCAGGGGACAGTTAGAGGCTGATATGATGATGAACGCGAACTATATATTATTTTTGAGAATATAGTTTTTCCGTGCGAAGCCGGACCGGATTACTGGTAACTAAATACTCAAACAATGCTTAACTGCGGTCCACAATTTTAAAAATTCAGACCACCAGAGGGACAGCCTTACTTATAGAAATATTATAAGGTAAAAAATATTGTTCGCTAAAAACTCTAATTATTTATATTTATTGTATTATCATGACAAGGTTTTCAAACATTAGGTAACGTTTATTATATATCTTAGACTCGTATTCTTTGAAAAAAAATATTGTTTTCGTCTCAAAAGGCTCAATTGAGTCTTATTAAAATATCTTCCTCCTACATCAAAATACAGCAGTAGATATTCAAAGATAGACAGATAAAATAGACTCGAAATATACCTACACGACGTAGAGTATTTAGAGGTTTTTTGGTTCAGCCATTGAACTCTGAAGAAGTAACGATCATGATAAATATAAAAATTCCTGGTGAATAGGACAGGCGGTTTACTTACTGTCATTAAATGATGTTATGGTAGTGACATTACGAGAGACCATAAACACAGAGAGTGTTAAATCTCCGCGTTCCCACAGTTTCCAAAACCCTATGACACACAGGTAGGGTTGCCAACGCTTGCTTTGACTAATTTATACCTATATATGTATTTTTTAAATGTTTATAACTTATTTATGTAGATTGCTACTATTTGAAGTATTATTTTTATTTATTTTATTATTTAAACCGTCTTCGAATGGGGCATGGTACATATGTACATATTCTAAAATACCTATAGTATTAAGTTCACTTTTTGTACCACACTTTATTGGTCAATGAAGTTTTAAATAAATATTTAACATACATACATAATTCAGGTACCATTTTAATCGGAAATGGTGTTCTTCAAAGAGTCACTAGTTCTATAAATACGAGAAAAAAAAAAAAACAAAAAATAAACCATTTTTGCGTAAACTGGATTTATTGAAAGGATTTAAAACCCTATAATTTTTTAAATTAATCAAACCCAGTTGTTTTTGTAGTGTTGTTATTATTATTTGTAGCCAGACCTTCTACTAGGAAAGAGAATTGCTTGACTATGTTACATAATATTTAAGTCCCAGGCGAGTCATATTGCAATTATTGTACTGTACCTACTTAGAAATTCTTTTTGAAAATTTTAATCTTTTTATTAGTAAGGTATCATGGATATAAAGGATAATATAAAAGAAAAGAAAATACTTATACTACTTTTATGTATTAGAGACTAATCAACGAGGGGGGAAAGGGATTGTTGTCAATAGAGCTTGACAGCTTCATTGCTAGCAATATGCCCTATTAGGTCGACCTCCACGTGGTTCTCCCTGGAAATTATCGTGAACAATTCTTGTTGAATTTGTCACGATGGGCTAACTGACCTGCTTCATCCTCACCCTTCACTAGTGCCCGCCGGTGTATACCGATAGCGCGGGTGGGTTTGCCATTCCATTATTACCCACTAAAAAAAACTTACCAATGAATCTGCGACTTGCCATCAGCAGGGCTTCGTAATTTATTGTTATTTTTAAGTTATAAATAATATTTTTTTGGAATTTTGACAGCCCTAGTAACAACACGAGATGAGGATTGACCTGTCGCCTTTCTCATGAATGTTCCGACTTTTTTAATGATCTTGCTAATTTGTTATACGTTTCTGACCTACAAAAATACAGGTAGGTATTTAATGACTAATAAAATTCTTTCAAAATAAAATGTAATAATCACAGATATTTTGACTATTATTATCCTATAATATACATTAGACTGACTATTATTATATACATATATATATATATATATATATATATATATATATATATATATATATATATATATATATATATATTTACAAATATTTTCTATCTGACTGTGTGTATATTTGTACGTAAAAACTACAGGATCAAATTAAACGTGATTTCCATAGTTGTGTTCCTGTAGGTATAATTTCTTTATTTTTTATTAATACTTATATTTTTTGCGATACATTCATTCATTTAGAAGTTATATATTTCATTGGTTTTATGTAATAAATACGTATCTATTATATTTTTAAACTTATTTAATAAATTTGTCAGCTGTTGCCGTTGTTAAAAACATTCGATATATTAGAAATATCTATTAGAATTAACACACAAACATACACGAATAACCTGTAATCATAAAAATAAATACTTGTAATATGTATTTATTATGCACTATTTATTTCTATGAAAACGCGCATTTTTAACGAGTCATATGGAGAAAGGACTGTAATGTATTTTATAAAATGATAACACAGTCACTTGTGATAGAAAAAATATATTATAATAAGTCAATGTTAAACATAAACACATAACTCTAAAAAGGTGCTCTCAGCATCTGTATTATTATTCGTTACACGATACAAAATTCTATCAGTATAAAATATTTATTGTCCAAACAGTTCGAAAAATAGATAGAGAAACAAAGAAATGCTCAATATTCATTTAACAAAAATACTCATAATTTCAATTCACCATCATCCCATGGGAATAGATGGGGGAAAAACAATAGCAATATAACAAAAACTATTAAGCAAACATATCCGGCTATTAAGATCATAAAATTCATAACAACCCTTTATACCATCTCTGTTTGTCCATCTTTGTAATTCTCACTCTTAATCGCTTAACACCCTATCCGTAGAAGCGGTCCATTCGGCCACTAAAGACAAAAAATTTAATAAAAGGACGATTGTGAACTGGTGTCACGGAACTATAGGATCTGACAATTTCCGGATAAAACTGGTTCCAAACTGGTTCCAACCGCCGTCTCTTAATGCGTTGTTTATGGTAATTTGGCACTTTATTGTGTGGGGATGTTTGTTTTTCAAGGGATGCTGTCTCAGGAATAAGATTAGCGGTCCGTGTTTTGAAATTTAATCGAATAATGGCTTTGATTTTATCACAGCATATGGATGCCAGTGATGGGAAATTGGATTAAAGATATTATAGTATAGGTTAATTGTATAGTATAAAAAGCTGACTCGGCAAACTTTGTTCTGAAATATATTTTTTTTCTTGGATAGGAACACCTTAACCACATAGTGGTATAAAATATATTTTACGAGCTATTCTCGTACCTACCAAGTACACATAAAAAATTTCATAAACAACATAAGATGACAAATAAACTATTAAACTAAAAACAAAAACATTTCTTAGCTATTAAGTTTGTAGTGTATAAATGTTTTTAAATTTTGTACTTTGTCTAACGAGTTTAAATGTTTTCTTTCAGTTTCTTTTTTCAAATTTTGGTTTTGGAAATATTTATTTTTTGTATATTTTTTATTGCACTTGAACAATAGATACAGCGGTTAGTTTAACTATTTGTTAACACAGGTGGGCTTAAAAAGAGCTCTAAAAGAGATCTATTCCAGCCAACCCAGTGCAGTTAAAGAGAAAATAATTAATTGGCGGGTAATCTAGCGCAGGAAAGGTACAGGTAAAAATAATGTAAATAAAAACAAACATACACAAATTGTAAATAAATAAATAAATATGTACATATACATATGTATAAGTGCATAATATTCATGTATTATTAGTTGTTAAAGGTGAGATTTTAGTTTACTGTCTTTTTTTTAAAACTAACCGCCGTATTTTGTACTTGAATTATACATTGCGTTTAAATTTTTAATACTTCTTAACCGTTTACCAATTAGTGATATCAAATTGAATTTAAGTTTTGCATACATCCGTCTAGTTCCGCTACAACCCTCAGCTGCTACGGCCACCGGCAATCAATCATAGATGCATCCTTTAACTGTCCCTTTTAATTTTTTCACTTAACCCTTCCTGGCGACTTGGTGTTTATGCAAATATTCGCAATTAAAACACCTCGGGTGTAACGGTCCTTGCGAATCTTTTGTTACTTGGACGACAGCTGGACGATGCTTTTTTTATTAGAATTATTCTTTGAAGACTCAACATTGTTTGAAGATACTTTATCTTGTGGATACAAGATTTGCAAAGGTTTTACAAAAATCCTACCTTCTAAAGATCCTGATATATCATAAAAATTTATAAATAAACAATTATATTATATTTGTTTGTTATACAATTGTATTATAATTGCATTAATAAGCTTACAACTTTATTTTCTTTTTTTTATTTTGCTTTTTTTTTCGTGGTTAAAAAAAGTTCATTATTATACTAACTTCTGTTACTTTTACACCATTACATCCAAGACTCTAATATCTTGCTAAATCTTATAAAACGTCATTATATATTTTCTTCTCTTTTCCATTAGAATTTTTTAATTGAGATACATTCTCCAATAAACTGTATTTCTATTATTCATCTCTTACTTGTTTTTGGGCAATTTTAAATCGTTTTTGTCCATAATTGTCAAATTCAGGTAGAAAAATACCTTCTATATTAACAAGCTTCGCGTCTTCACCTTCTTCGAAACTGGATGTTTTTTTATTATTTTTGAATTTTATTGATTTGAATGTAAATTTTTTCTTATTGCTCATTGGTTTTGTCACTTTAAACTCATTTTTTGTATCTTTTTCTATTAATATTTGATTTTCTGCAGTTACTTTCTGAATCGAGTATCTTACGAGCACAACAATACAAAAAATAATATGAACATTCATAATTTCAAACGCGCAATGATTGATTTTTTAACAATGATGTATTCTTATGACTGTATAAAATTGAAGTTAATTAGTAATTATGCTCAGAATCGTATGCATTGATTTGAAACATTTTAAAGTAGGTAACACTGTGTTATCAAAAGTATATTCTATGTATATTGTTTCCCCACTTGCTCTTTTGCTTTGTCCGAGTTATTTATTAGGTACAAATAGGTAAGATACATTTGTTATGCTAATGGATAAACTCAAAAAATAATTAACTGATTTTAAAGAAAAATTTAATTCTAAGAAAAATCTATAATTAAGCTACATTGTGACCGAGTAAAATGGGTTGCATTTTATTTAACAAAAAATTTGTGCGAAACTGGGTTGGTTCGCTAGTTCTGTGTAAAGTTGTTTCATTGTTTTTTTCGTATAGGTACAATAAATTTCCAAATCTTTCAATTTTTAAGAAACATAATAAATATTAATTTCTTTTTCTAATATTTGAATTATATTCTTTATTATTTTTTAAAATCTTAAATTGTCATATGAGACGCATTCTTATTTATTTCCAGTCAAAAATATCTTTTGCGGTCTCCTTGACCACTCATTTGATTCCTATTGACCCTTCACACTGAAATACGAACTGGGGTCATCTGGACCAATTCCTATAGAGGTGGACATTAAAAAAAACACGGATTGGCGTTCAACACAAAAGACGGTGACCCTTTCAAATTATCCTACTGAGTTTTGCTTGACCTTTTGTAGTAGGGTTGCATTGTGTAGTTTAGATTAGAGGTGTAACGGTGAATATTGAATGGGTTAACAAATACATTGAAAGAATTACAATAAGCTATATTATATTAAAATATAAAAGGCATCCAGTATGTAACTGGATGTTAAAAATCTTAGTAGGTATAAATGAAGTTTATTTTTTTTAATATACGAAATACTATAAATAGTCATTATTATCGATGGTCTGTTTATTTTGATTACATTCACAATAAATCGTAGACGAAATAAATACAGACGAGTTACGTATATATTTGGAACATAGTCACAATAAAGCAATTCAATGCCAATACATATCATCAATTTCTAGGATAATTTGTATAATTAAATTATTTTTGTATTTTTTTTATACAACTTAGAATGGCAAACAAGCTGACGGCCCACCTGATAGAAAGTGGTAACCGTCGCCTATAGACATGAGTAGTACCATGGACATAACAGAGTATACTGTTTCGTTATGTAGTAAATCTATCACAGGAATGATATATAAAATGTAAAACGTATTATTATTAATTACTTACGCCTTACTTTGTTTGAAATGCCACTTTACTGTAACTTATACTATATCTGCACTAAACTCATTTTTAATTTTTCGCAAGACTACAAGAGGTTAGGAACTGTACATAACATTCTCTCTTTTCATTTAAGAGTTTCCTGTTATCAGTGCAACTAATTCATGCATTTTCTTCCAGCCAGCTCTACCCCAGACCATATCTTTGACCTTCCTATACGACGTGACACCTAATGTTTCCATTATCTGTTCCATGTAGTTATTCTTCGGTTTTCGCCTTTCTCTTTTCTCCTCTATTTTATCCATCTACTATGCCCTTAAAAAATTACTAAGAGTTCGAGGTTAATTTTTATTTTTTTTACAAGGTACCAACAGAATATTAGCCGCGCAGCGCTGCTGCTGCAGCACTGAGGGTACTCCGCAGCTTATTGCTGAGTTGGTTGTCTTTTCATCGTTGCAACACATAAAACCACCTAAAAATTTTTGTTTCGCCTATAATTATGTGCTTATAATGGTGAATAAATAATTTATCTATCTACCTATATATACATATGTATATAGTATATAGGTAGTAGATAATTGAACCTCTTTTGTTTTGGAGCCGGCTGAAAAAGTAATTAGACAAGATTAAAAGGCTTAATTAGAAGGTGCGACCAGCCATTACTGGACACGCCCAAGTGACTGGATGTATTCGTACGGTACGCGATATTTTGGTAATTCGTATATAGTTCCCTTGGGAAATAACGGGGAAAGGGGATGATGCCAAATTGGACTTAATAGAAACATGAGTATATTACAAGAAGTTTTATACAGGATGCAATAGCAGTCATTTGCATTTGTTAAAGAGTGTGTGAATGCGTATTTATTTATTTAGGTTCATCAACAATTGTTTCCACATGATAGTGTAAGTATTTATACAATTATGGAGCTTAGAACTAAGTTTTTTTCAAGCAACTTAGAATGGCAAACAAGCTGACGGTCCACGTGATGGAAAATGGTAACCGTCGCCTATAGACATGAGTGTAACAATTTGTTATATGCAAACAGCATATATTGATACTAACAATTAGTACGGAGAAAAACAAATATATACAGCTTACAACTATTTATTAAATGCTTAACAACTAAAGCCAACATATCCATAAGCAGATCCAGCAACACGACTCATTTTTTTTTATGGGTGAAAATGGTATGGTAACTCCGCCTGCGCTAACGGGATACGCTGGCGGAGCACCAGTGAAGGGTGATAGATGAGAATGAAAACAGGCCAGTTAGCCCATCATGATGAATTCATCAGGAATTAATCATGATAGTTTCCAGGGGGAACCGCGAGGAGGTCGACCTGGTTGGGTATATCGCTAGCAATGGGATTCTCAGTCTCTATTACTAACAATCCCTTTCCCCCCAGTACTAAGCTATTATGTGTGTGTATCCCGTAATTTCACTATAATATCGCCACAGCCATGCAAACAAAATTGCTTCACGACAGAAACACGAATGGGTCAACTGTTGGCGGTAGCCCAAGCAAACGAATTTTGTACAAAATCTCCCTCTGTAAATGTATTCAACAAAACGGAACATTTCTCCCAAAGAACCATGAGTCAAAAAATTTTGAGTCCCTCACACTAACTTGAAAGATGGACGCGCTATATTCGTATATTTTGCGCATTAAAAAGGTGCAGAATTTATAAGACACAATAAATATAGATTTCATAAAGGAATCACTCATAACTATTTATCACGCAAAATTGAATGAAAAAGTTAACCTGCTCTTAGTCTTAGTTTTCTCAAAGCATTTGTATGAAGATAATCTAAGGGTATGCTATATCTAAAACTGCATTCATAATCTTTTAGATTGTAGAAACAAGAATGTCGATAGTTATTGTATGCATTGCATTGGAATCTTGCAACTATTACGGTAATTATTATTATGCATATTATGCAAATGTGGTCGTATTACTTTTTATGATTACATTGTGCATGGGAAAATAGGAGATGTAATATTACGTATTCATGAATCTTTCTCGCTATGCTGACGAACGTACATAATAGGAACTCGTTGTAGTGATGTCTGATAAATCGATTATCTGTCGATTTAATCTAAGTACCGATCTATCTCTCGATACCACTGATTTATTAAAAAAAAACGGAATTTAATTGATTATAACCTAATAATCAATTTTAAACGTAGTAATGGGGGGGTGGGGTTATTCGTAATGCGGACTACCAGTCCCATTGCTAGCTAATATGCCCTGTCAGGTCGACCTCCACATGGTTCCCCTGAAAACCATTATGCTGAATTCCAGGTACATTTATCACGATGGGCTAACTAACCTGCTTTTTCATTCTGACCTACCATCCCTCACTGGTGCTCCGCCAGCGTATATACCGTTATAGTCCATTATTATCCATTAAACAAAGCGAGGCGCCAAGATAATAAGCATTATTTATTAATAATCAATTATAAATAAATAAAACTATTGTAAAATCGATTACGTAAATAATTAATAGATAATTTATTAATAATCGATATCCAACAACTTATTAGACAACACTACCATGTTGCAATAAAGGGAAGCCGACACGCTGCGGTCTGTTGTGAAATATTAGAGTTGCTAGAAAAGCGAGATATTAACTTATCATAAAATTTTATATTAAAAATGTAATAATGTTATAGATCATTTATTTATTTAGGGATTTTAGATAAGGCTTTGAGTGATTGAGTCGAAAATTGTCTCTAAAAATGGCCAGCAAACAACAAATATTTTTATGGTATCACTGTATGTGTACAGTAAATATATAGTTATAAGAAATACTAGGGATTCGGGAAAGGAAGGGGTGGCCCATTCTATGTCGGGACCACACGGCTAAGTATGGGGGAAAGGGATTGTTAATAATGGAGTTTGACAGCCCCATTGATATCAATATCCTATTAGGTCGACCTCCACGTGGTTCCCCCTGGAAAGCATCGTGAACAATTCTTGTACTATTCGTCACGATGGGCTAACTGACCTACTTCATCCTCACCTATCATCCTTCACTGGTGCCCCGCCGGTGTATACCGATAGCGCGGGTGGGGTTACCATTTCATTATCATCCATTAAAAATCACACGGCTAAGTACTAAGATAGTACCGAGTGTTAAAACGCTTGTTATTGACCACTGTTTTATTTTTAAATTTTTTACTTTTTTCTTATAATTGTTCATCTTATATATAAAATTCTCGTGTCACGGTGTTTGTTACCAAACTCCTCCGAAACGGCTTTACTGATATTTATGAAATTTTGTGTGCATATTGGGTAGGTTTAAGAATCGGCCAACATCTATTTTTCATACCCGTCAATGATAAGGGTAACCCACCCCAAAATATATTTTTTTCAATTTTTTTGTAAATTTTTTTTATTTTTATTTTATTATAATTTAGCATTGAAAAATACATACAATTTTAAATTTTCATCATTTTACGATCAACCTCTGTATTTTAATAGCGATTTTTATATTTCGCAATAAGTGGTAAAACAACGTTTACGGGGTCAGCTAGTTATTCAATATAAATGAACCTGCATGAAATGAGTTTGACACATGGCGTAAAAATTTCATTGCGTCATAGGTATAGGTATAGATAAATTAATTCTTTGTTTGCATCAAGAGATACATAAAACTTTATAAATAGTAACAAAAAAATCGGTGTCTAACATAATGGCGATATACACAATTTTTTTTATATAACTTAGAATGGCAAACAAGCTGACGGCCCACCTGATGGAAAGTGGTAACCGTCGCCTATAGACATGAGCGGTACCATGGACTTAACAGAGTATACCATTTCGCCCATGATACCTCCCATGCGTTGCCATTCCTGAGGACTTAGATGTTATTCCTCTGTACCCTGTAAATTCACGCCATACCACTCTTCAAATTGAAACACAGCCATGCAAACGACTGCTTTACGGTAGAAACACGAATGGGACAGAGGTAGCCAAGCAATCGACTTTTGTACAAAGTCTCCCTCTGGTAAAATAACATAATATTGTTTTTACGTTATTTATAATGATAAAAATCTTTATAATGCTTATATAATGAATTGTCTTCTGAGGAATTGTTTGAAATGATGCCCACAGCTACCTTTTATCGTCACACCATCAAGCCATCAACAGGGAATTCCTCCTCACACACTTTAACCTAAATGATAGGGGAGAAAGGGATTGTTAGTAATGGACACTGAGAATCCCATTGCTAGCAATATACCCGACCAGGTCGACCTCCTCGCGGTTCCCCCTGGAAACTATCATGGGTAATTCCTGATGAATTCATCATGATAGACTAAATGGCCTGTTTTCATTCTCATCTATCACCCTTCACTGGTGCTCCGCCAGCGTATCCCGTTAGCGCAGGCGGAGATATCAATCCATTTTTACCCATCAAAGAAAAAAACCTAAATGATAAGGTACAGTGCGATCTCAGAGGAGATCTCCTGCGAATGTTTAAGATGTGGAATGAGCTATCGAGGTTTTCCCTAAAGACTATAATATGGGGTTCTTCGAAAAGGTTATATTAAGGTTTCTTCAAGGTCGGAAACGCTCACGTGACACCCCTAGTGTTGCAGGCGTCTATAGGCTACAGTGACTGTTTACCATCAGACGAGCTGTGTTTTTATTTGCCACTTTCGTGGTATAAAAAATATATGTCAAAATATACATGTTATGTGTACCACAGTGATGCAAAAAAACGATATCGCAGTGAGTAGTATGCTTAATAAGCAAATCATTGACTTTCAGTTATTACGTGAAGGACTTCCCAAAGGCATATATATACAAGTACGCCCTATCATAGTCTGTAGTATTTCATATTATTAAGTACATAATTTTATAAAGCATGAATTGTTACCACAAAGAGGGGGGGGGGAGGTCTGTTAGTAATAATGACTACAAATTTTTTAATGGATGATAATGGAATGGTACCCCGCCTGCGCTATCGGTATACACTGGTGGGGCACCAGTGAGGGATGAGAGATGAAGACGAAGACAGGTCAGTTAGCCCATCGTGACGAATTCAACGATAAATTTATCACGATGGTTTCCTGGAGGAACAGCGTGGAGATCGACCTGACAGGGTATATTGATAATAAAGGGGACTAACCTCCCCATTACCAACAATCCCTTCCCCCCATAATAGTATTATTAGTAGTATATCTTATCTGGTCGAAATCCGAGCGATCCTCTCTGGAAACCAACGTCTCCTCACTTTTAGCATTGGATTGGCTGAAAACCAGCGCTGTACAGCTGTGTACATTGCATTATGACATTTACAGCATCAGCAGAGCCAGTTTCTTTTGCCTAATATGAGTCGCTTCTTATATACAACATTTCTGTTACTTCTTTTGTAACTATGTGTTTTTCTGGCAATAAATATTTTCTATTCTATTCTATTTTATTCTATCCTCACCTATCATTCATCACTGGTGCCCGGTCAGTGTATACCGATAGCGCAGGCGGGGTTACCATTCCATTATC